GGCGGGCTGGCAGCGTGTGGTCCAGCTCAGCTTGGCTCGGCCCAGTCCAGCATGCTGTGGCCTGGCTGGGCTCAGCCTGTGTGGTGGGGTGCGGTTGCACGGCCTCTGCCAGCCCCAAGGGACAACAGGACTGACCCGGCCCTGCAGGGCTCTTGTCTCTGCAGAGCTGCTGCTCCAGGATCCCGGCACTGCCCCACTCGGACAAACAAGGTTCCCCGGGACTCGGCCACCGGAGCCGGCCAGGGACAAAGCGGTGGGGACAACCCCAGGCCCCCAACGGCTGCTGGGTCTCAGCAGACTGGGACACAAGGCAGTTGCACGTTTTTGGTTTGAGAATAGTTTATTATAATGGAATAAAGCGTATTTCATCAGAGGTTGCAATTGTGTTAATAACCGTTTAGTGGTATCAGCTTACAACCTTGGAGCCCGGTATCGCCTAGCCCAGAATTACTTTCCTGCCGCCAAGCCGTGCTAACGAACACACCGCGCAAACAAACACGCTGTGGCACTGCGCGCTGCCGGGGCGTGCGAGGCAGCGTGAGGAGTTACTACACCGCGGTAGCGCGTTGGGGGCGTGGAGTAATGAAAGACGGTGCTTTACAGGCATGGAAGAAGATGAGTCAGCACCTCAGGGAGTTTACAGCCGAGGGCCCGAAGCCTGCAATTAGCTCTGCATGAGCCACGAGGAAATTAATTTTTGTACAGCCCAAATTCTTGAGTGCCACCAGTGTGCATGGAGCGAGTGGGATTTGTACGGGCAAGATGGGGTGATGGGGTGTCCTGCACACAGTGTTGTATTTCAAACCCAGAGGAGTGCTGTATTCTGGTAAGCAATGAATTTAGAACACCATTTTGTACGCACATCCATTGGCTCTAGCATGGCATGTTATCCCAGCCATTGATGATAACAACATAATTTTGGATGTAAGATGGAAGAGGAAAATATCTGTGTTTTTAATGGAGTTTGGCTAAGTCTATGTACAGGACAGGAGATGTGCTTGGGGTATTGGTGTCCTTTAGGTAATTCTCCTACTTGGAATGCTATCACATGGTATTGTTTTCTTTTTACAATTAGTGTATGTTTGTTGCCTGCTCAGAAGAATAGTTAGAAGCATTTTTTAACCAAAAATGACATAGAAATGTAACCCAGTACTATACCTTTTCTTCCTCTAAAGTTAATTCAGCTTTTGTCAACTCTGTTCTTTGTGTGCAGCACATCTTAAATTTTAGCAAAAAAATGTGTGAGGCATTACGTCCCCGCTTGCATGAGCTCTGTGCACATACAATACAGTATTCATGACATTTTATGTGTCAGCTCAAGTGACCGACCGCTCTGAACACTCAGGAGTGAGGAATGCATCGAGCTCTAACAGCCTCCATCTGGCTTGCAAGCAATATGAAAAACTACATTTAGGAAATAAGCACCTATTTTGGTAACACCGCGTGGGCTCTTTC